AATATAATGGGTTTAGTTCAATTGTAAATCATTAATTTAGAATTTCTCTAAAATGTCCAAACCCATATACTCCCAGAGAAAACATCTATTAACCTGTTAATATGAATGATTGTAAAGTTTGAACATGCAATACAGATACAGATTTAACTACTGTGACTTAAAAAAATATCTTAAAATTAAATAAAACCACTTTTCCTAAAAGTAGAATAGTCTTCTTTTCAATGAATGTTCAAGTACCGAGCAGTGAATGCTATTATTTTTTTCTTTTGTTGCTTGATGACACAGACCGCATTAGGTTTATTACCCACTGTCACTTTAAGACATCGGATCATGTCCAATGACTTGTGGATCCAATTGCACTGATGCACATCCGACACACTCAAAACTGTTTAAGACATAACCAACATAGTTTACGTGAATACTCTCCAAAATGGACATTACGACATAATGTTGTGTATTAGTCCATTCAGACACAAAAGAGAATTCAGTTCAGTCCTCGCGCGCTGTGTGTGTGTGCATGTCTGCGCGCTTCGGGTCGGGTGTGTGCGCAGAAAACCGAACCAAATAGAGCTCTTTTTTTTTGCGTCGTCACTCTTATTCAGATCTATGTGTCTGCTCTACTAATTCTCCCAGACATTTACATTTTTTAACGTTTGATGAGATGCAGCGCATGTCAACCCGTGTGCCGCTGTGTAGATCAGCGCGCATCTACCACAAACGCAGGACATCAGTTCTTACTGGATCGTCACTATCTAACATTTTTGTCTAGTTTTTATTTGTTGACGAAAATGTCAATAGATTTTCGTCATAGTTTTTGTCATTCAAAACTAGTTTTAGTTTTTGTCATTCAAAACTAGTTTTTATTTAGTTATCGTCTCGTTTTCGATTATGGTAGGTAGTTACTCGCACATTGTGCTCGTAAATTTTTTCCCCGGTTCGCACGTATTGATTTTTAGGGGCATATGCGAGCAAAATGGTCGCACTGTAGAGCCCTGTATATATATATATATATATATATATATATATATATATATATATATATATATATATATATATATATATATATATAATGGCGTTGTGCAGGTTTATGAGAATGTATCATAACATTAAGATGTTAATAATAATGACCACAGGTGCTGGAGAAAAATATATACAGTAAATACTCTAAATGTTTTATACCTTATGGGAACAATCCCCTTCCCTCCAAAATTAAACACACAAAAAATTAATTAAATTTAAATATATATACATACAGTATATATATCTATCAGACTTATTAATGTCATTTTATTAATAGATTGGTGTGCCAAGAGTGACATTAGTCTTCACTTAGACTGAGTTAAGCAAGAGTCTTGTGACAAATTATAATAGGACATTATGGCCATAAAAAAATCAAAGTACTTGGATACTTAAGTACATTTGAAGGCAAATACTTTTGTACTTTTACTCAAGTAAATGTTTAAAGGCAGCACTTCTACTTTTACTTGAGTAGTATTTTACCTTGAGTATCTTTACTTTTACTCAAGTACATGGTATGTGTACTTCGTCCACCACTGTATGAATGTTTCTGAATGACAGAACCTATTGATGTCATGTTGATGGATAATAGAAGTGGTCCAAGCACTGAGCCTTGAGGGACACCAGCAGCTAGATGTTGAGACTTAGACACCTCACCCCTCTAAAACACCCTGCCTGAGAGGTAAGACTTGAACCACTGAAGTGCAGTTGCTGAGATTCCCATTGCCATGTGGGTTAACAGGAGGATCTGGTGGTTAACCATGTCAAAAGCAGCTAAAAGATCCAGCAAGCCATTTTGAAGCCATACTGGTTGTTGTCCAGGAGGTTTTCCTTTGTGAGAAAGGTAGAGACTTGGTTAAACACGACTAACTGAAGTGGAAAGGTTTTGAAAAGCGTGCAAGAGTCAGAAGATATGTTAATTTTGTTGTGGTACAATGTTAAGCAGTGGAGACAACGTAGGTTATGCCAAAAGGTGACCTGTGTGTTGTGTCAGGAGCCAGGTTGAAAAGTACATATGAATATATTTTTGTTATAGTAAACTCTTAGCAGCATTTTTCAGTACTGAATTAATTCTATGTTTGTTGTTAAATTAAAATGTATTTTAGGACTTAAGCACATATTTATATTATTGTCTTTGAAATATGGTTAATGTGTACTGCCAAATGTACACAAATGTGCATGTAAAATATAATTTGATGTTGTTTCTTTCAAAAGCTGTATGTCATGCATTTAAATATATTTGTAAGTAATGTAATTTTGTAATGAAGTTTAGCAATTTAAAACATTTAAAATATATTATCTTTTAGTGTAATATCAAATAACACACAACAGTAGGAATAATAATCAAGCACCTTACATGTGCTTTAGTATGTTAGTCAACATCAAAATAAGTGTACTTCTTTATAGCACAACAAAAGATTATTAAAACATAAAGTTTTAAAATGCACTTTAAAGTAAAACTTTTAATTTGACATTAATACGAAGTGCACCTTTTAAAGGTGTACTTAAGTGTGTAAAGAAGCAGTCATGATTGTGTACACTTAAGTGGCCTTTTACTTTGTTAATATTGTGTTATCTGCAAATAATAAAATTTTAACATTTGAAGTACTCAACAAGTGCACATTCAGTACAATTAAGCACAAATAAGTGTTGCCTTCTCTTTGAAGGATACATGCAATCTGTCTTTTGAATTTGGCCAAAAAAAGGACTCATAGAAGGTAATAGAACTATGCTGCCCACTTTTTTTGTACAGCTTCACAACGAGACCACCTTAAAATTCTGTCTACAGCTCACTAGCTTTTCAAACAGAACTAACATGTCTGAATTTTTCCAACCAATTCCAAACCAGGTCAGGAGCCAATCTTTGCCTCAGGATTCCTCCTAGACACTTTGAATTCTGCCTGTTTATTTTCACCCCCACTACTTCTTGGTTTTTCCTCGGAGTGTTCATCTTCCCATCACCGTTGTTTACTGATCATTCATATTGCCTTTCAAATTCAAAAGAGGATTACATGTAGTAGATTTCCCAGCAGACATCAGTATTTGAACACAAAAGGCTCGGAGGCCAACTTCATTTTCATGAAAGTGAGATCTGCATACATGCAGCATCGCGGGGTTTAGTGAGTCAGTGGGGAGAGAATGTTCTTCAGGCAGGACTGACATCCGCTTCCACAGTTCGGATGCAGGAAGCGAATGGTTGAGTATGTGTGGGTGGCTAAAGGATAAGAAAGAAAGTGTAGAAAACAGATGGTTTGTATGAAAAGTATAACTTGTTTAATTTTTTTATCTGGAATGTACTATAGCAATGGATTCATTTTTAAATAAGGAAGACCCATATAGGTGAGGTAATTAGCTCATTTTAATTCATTAAACTGATGATGTAACTCTCCAAAGTGTTCATAAAGAGTTGAATGTAAATATGTGGAACAACGGTGGTTCATACACTGAAAAGGCCATAGTATGGCCACACAAGCCTTCGGGGCCATAAGCTGTTGTCCGGAGTGAATCATTGTTTATCTTTTTCTATGTTGGGGTGGTGTAAGCCTGAAAAATCCCTTCTGACATGGCTGAGTGGAAGCCCAGAGCAATCTCTGGACCACAAGCAACCCTTTGATTCGAAGGACCATGGAAAGCCATTTCCTAAGGAAACAAGAACAGCATATTGCTTAGAATTGTGCTTCTGTAACTTGCTGTAATGCATTAATTTTGATATGGTCGGTTTGTTGAAAAACAATTGTAAAATTCAGCAGTGCTTTATAACAATAACAGCAAATCCCATTGTTGTGAAGATTGTGGAAGTGCATTTAGCATAATTTTCTCAAACAATTTCAGACAATAAAAATTACATTTTATCAACAATGCATTTATGTTCTCCAAAATGGTGTTTAATTATCCAAATTAGGCTAAGTTTCAATTTAGTTCCAGTAATGTGAATATGTTCAGCATGTCTGTATCCATTTACACTGGCTTATAATTGATGGCAACAGAAAAAAGGTTCATGATTTCCATCGAATTCACCCAAAAAAGTCATGATAAAAATTGTATTTACATTCAAATCAATGATGTAACTAATAATTTATCATATAATCCTAGAATTCCCCCATATCTAACATTTTGAACGCATCATGCCATTCACAAGTTCTAAAACTAAAAATATATGCATCTCAGTATAAACAATAAAAATTGTATATCTCTTCTATACAGACCTTTCAGTTGATGATAAAAGCAATTCCAGTTCTAAAGGGTGACCAGCAAGAAGTGCTATTGACTCCATCCATGTCAAATAGGGCCGGTATCATGGTTTCCTAAAGCAGCATCTCTCTCCAGCACTGATTTCTCATTCCTCTCCTGTCTCAGCATCAGATAAATGCATGATGAAGGACGTCCCTTCCCTGGAGGACTTCCCCACTAGCTGTGTGCAGGCAATGAAATTTCTGTTTATGCACTAGTTACAAAAAAGTTTGAAGTGTATTTTGAACCAGTGCGAATTTAGGTGCAATCAAACTCAGTCTCTGAGTTCCGTACAAGTGAAATGTTCCGTGGTGAAAAGTGCAGTTCCTTCTTGCCCAGCAAAGAGAGGAGAGTTTAGCCAACTAGCCGGGTGATCCACTCTCACTTGGGGAAGTCAATAACTCTCTAGGTAAAGAAAAGACACAGAGGTTAGTAACGCACCCAGTGAAAGTCCATACGGCTCTCCCCTCATCTTCCTTGCTGGAGTTTATATTTCCCTCTGGGTGACAGACCTGACCAGCCAGAGAACATCCTGGATAGTACACCAACATTGCCGGAACCGGATCAGTGTTTGACCACAAAGTGGAAGTCTTAAAGAGTCAGGAACCATCTGGTGACTCTAGCATTGCTGTCCTTTGCCCTTGCCATCCACTGCAGAGGGGCATGGTCTGTCACCAGGGTGAAGGAACGACCTAGAAGATGCCTTAGCTCCTCGACAGCCCATTTTATGGCCAGGGCCTCTTTCTCGACAGCTACATATAGTGTTTCGGCAGGGGTAAGTTTTCGGCTGATGAACGTTCTTCTCCTTGGACCATTTGAGACAGTAAAGCTCCCAGGCCCGTGTCAGAGGCATCCATTTTGAGTATGAATGGCAGGGTGAAATCCGGGACATGTAGCACTGGCGCCGAGGTCAGCGCTGTCTCTAGTCTTCGGATGGCTCTCTCAGCTGCAGCATCCCACTGCACTTCATCTGGCTGGGCATTCTTGGTCAGGTCTGTAAGGGCAAGCCAGAGAAGAGAAACCCGGAATAATACATAGATAATATTCAGCCAAACCTAGGAAGGCACGTACCTGTTTCTCTGTATAGGGCCGGGGATACACCCTGATGACCTTTACTTTTTCCTCTTGCGGTTCAATCAGTCCCCTTTCAATGCGATAAGCCAGGTATCGTGGCTCTGAATGCCCCAGATTAGATTTTTGAGGGTTAGCCGTTGGTCCAGTCCGACGTAGCGTGGTCAGCAACTCTCTGAGCATAGGCCTGGTGTGGTCGGAGCACTCTGTCCATCAGCCTTTCAAAGGTTACTGGTGGCACAAGCAGGCCGAAAGATAAGACGCGGTAATGAAAGTGCCCTGAAGGAGCACTGAAAGCTGTCTTCTCTTTTGCCAAAGTGGAGAGGGGAACTTGCAAGTTCTTAAAGTTTTTGTTAAGTCCAGTGTGGAGATTTGCCAGGCCCTACCGAGACGTTCAGTGAGCTAATCGCAGGGTTGTCGTCCAAACAGCAATTTGAATGGGGTAAAGCCGGTGGAAGCTTGGGGCATTTCTCATATCCCAAAAAGCACATAGGGGATCATTCGGTCACCACCTGTTGGTGCAACATTTGCTTGAGGGTCTGATTAAAGCATCTGTCTGGGGGTGGTACACTGAGGTGCAGAGATGTTTCACTTGCAGCAACTTACACAGATCAGCCATGACCCAGGAAACAAAGGGGGTGCCCTGGTCCGTCAGATTTTCAGATATAATCCCCACCCAGCTGCAAAAGGCAAACAACTCCTGGGCGATAGCGGCGGCAGTGAAATGGCCTCAGGATAGCGGGTGGCATAATCCACCAGGACCAGAATGTATTCATGGCTCTTCTGCAATGGCCCCACGATGTCCATCCCAATGAGAACGGCACCTCTATTACTGATAGTAGAATCAGGGGGCGGGGGCAGGTCTCTGAGGAGCCGTTCGTTGGCATACTGTACAGGCCTGGCAGAACCGCCGCACTTCGGAATTCATCCTAGGCCAGTGGAAGTGATCTCTTATCCACTGCAGAATGTTCTCTGCTGCGAGGTGGCCGGAAAGTGGATGGGAGTGTGCCAGGTGGAGAATCATCTCTGTTTTGCTCCTTGGGAGTACGAGCAGTTCCTTTAGTTCCCCCCGCCTTTCCGCTACACAGTATAACAAGTCATTTTTTACAATGAAGTGTGAAGAGTTGTTGGCAGGTGTCCTGTGCCGTTGACCACCCTGACCTGTGCCCAGCAGTGTTTCAAGTGATCGTCCTCTGGTTGTTCTCTTCCGAGGGACCCGCTTCCTGCGATCTGCTGGAAAAGATCAGAGAAGACTTCAAGATTACTTTGAGAAGACTCACCCACTCTCTCATTCTCTGATGCAAGGTAAGCCTGGGGTTGTCGGGGCGTCGTAGAAGTTGCTCCAAACCTGGAAAATCTCACCCTTGCAGGTTCTTCAACCCCTCAACCTCAACCATCCAGGTTCCTGGGAAATCAGAAATTGAGACGGTTTGGGCCGGCATATACCTCATGTCATCATGAACGCAGGTGAATGGGAGGAGGGACTGGCCAGACTTTGTAGTTCGAAGAAGCTGGGGTGGATGAGACTGACATTGCTCCCCGTGTCCAGAATGGTAAGTGGGGAGCAGGCGATATCTCATCACAATATATATATATATTGAAAATAATGAAATTAATTTATATATTTTGACATGAAAAGGCCAGTATAAATATTCAAAATAGCAGGAGATACAGAGCAACGACCAAAGAGGCTATCTAAATTTTATGCATACTGCACAGGCCATCCTGGCTTTCGAAATAACTGAATCAAGGATGTGTCCCTTATCAGATTATGTATTGCGGAGAGAGAGAAAAAATGCAGAGAAAGGTTTCTGGATGCCATTGGCAGGTTAAACACAGACCTCATTAATTCTGTGACTCTTATCAGGAAGCGCCAAATACAGATAAAACAGCGGTTTACTTTAAACAGATTCACCTCAGACAGAAGATTGTTTAATTATAACCTCTTAATATTTATTTTCAATTACCAGATTCATTTTAATGAATAAATAATTATATCCAACACCTTTGAGCACAGTGTAAGCATACAAACAACCTGCACAAATCCAAGTTCACTTCATTTTTGGTGAACTAGCCTATTTGTTTAATATTTAGAAGTATTGCATGAAAAAAATCTGCCACTCAAAGCAGAATGAAGTGTGTTTTAGATATCTAGACCTAGAAAACAGATCAAAATGCTCTCTATGAACCAAAGTCACAACCATCTTTACATTTTTTCTCTGCTTTTTTTTGGACTTAATAAAGAAAGAAAAGAAAGGAACCCACCTGTTACACCTGCCAACAACTTTGCAAGCAGATTTTAAGCAGGATCTTTTAATTTCAGAGATGTCAAAAGTATCTGATATATTATGTTTGGATGGGGGGAAACAGTGTGGATTCAGGTTGCCTGAAGTTTGATAAGAAGTGCAAAATGCCAAAGAAGGAAGCTCACGCTAATTGAGACCAAGCTATCAGAGATAAGAGATACGGCCAGGTGTTCAGGAGCAAAGCAAAAGACAAATGTCACTGTGTCCAAATACTGATAAGAACAAGAGAAGCACCAACAATGACATTTATTAAGCTTCAGTAGATATTCATATTCACAGCAGAATAAAAGCGCGATCAACACACACACACACACACACACACATTCTCTTGTTAAAGGTCATGTTTTAAAGGTGTCTTGTTAAGTCTTTCAGGCAGCTCTTGGGTAGCTGTCAAATCTTTCATATGTCTTATAGAAAGTGAGTGGAGGTTAGTTGACTACAATGAGATTGTTAACCTGTATAACAAAGCGCTCATGTACAAGAACTTACATCATCTTGCTCATTTTTTATGCATAGCTCAGGGGGGCAGGGTGATTAATCAAGTAATTAATCAATTACTTGATTAATTACTCAAGTAATTATTTTCATTCATGGATAAGGCAAATATGGCAGGAGTTTATGAAAATTGCAATTCTTTCTTTGTTGTGTAACTAGATTTTCTTTACATTCACAGTTTGTTTACTGTATAGAAAAGCAAGCTTTTTTTTTTTATCTGACAAGCTGTAATCTGACTGGCCGACTACTGAATTACATTTGTGCCCTCGAACAAGGAATTTAAACCCAGGGTTGGTCTAACAACCTCTACATGTCTCAGCTATATTTTTCTATGTGACATACATTGCCTGCTATTTCTAAAGGACACATTTTCTTGAACCTACAGTGTTTCATTTTGAGGATGTCACTCTCTCTCACCAGACCGGGATTGATTGGTCTAGTCTATCTAATTGCTCAGATCCCATGGAGGAGCCATTGAAGCTGGATCCTGATTGGCTGCCCTGTCATCCATTAAACTTTCTATCCCTCAGAGTAGCCCAAACTAAACGATGAGCAATGATCACTACAGGATTCATTACAGAGCTCAAAAAGGTCCAGTGGTGTTCTTCACATTTACTAGAGGTGAGTACTTGATGTTATTTCATGTGGTTAACGTCTTTATTCTTTTCATATAAAAGGAGAGACACACAGTGGCATCTGTGTCACATTATTTATATCAATGGGGGATTTCAAACCATGCATTAGAGCATGTTTTTAAATACTTTTAAATACAAAATCATCCTTTGAGGTGTTAAATGAAGGCAAGATTTCAGGCTAATTTTCTTCTTTCACATTTCCTCTGCAAATTAGTATTATATAAAAAAAATTCACACTAGTATACTATGAATATGAATTAGCAGTATATGCTATAGATGTTTAATTTAAAAGTTTTTTTTAATGAAATCTTGATGAAATGAAATCCACTACATGCATGAACTAAATTTGCACACCAAAAAATCAATTACTCACCCTCATGCCATTCCAAAGCAGTATGCTCTTTTTTTTCTTTTTTGTCAAACAAAAAAGAGAAATGGCTAAAAATCTTTACCCAGCTCTTTGCACTTTATACAATAGATTGCTTTAAAGTAATCAACTTTACAGTATTAAACATTGAAACAATGTCAGAGTCTCTTTCACAAGAATTACAACTTCAATTTCTACTAAAGCAGCTCTTCAGTGTGTTCACGATTTTACTTGCATCTAACTTCGATGGACTAAACCATAGATATCCATAATAAAGGCTAGATGTCTCGTCCGCGCTGCTGGCCAATGGAGGTCGACGTCCGCACCTGGCGGCCATCTTGTCAGGCAGCTCGCTCACTCGTAACATTGTGTTTTAATGGTGCATGTACTTTTTTAAATAGCCATAACTTGCTCCATTTTCTACCGATTTTCAAACGGTTTGGTTTGTTATAAACGTCAGAGATGTAGGTTATGACACTGCATACTTATGAATAATAAGTGTATAAATAAATAATCATAGCCATGTTAACGTTTGTAAGAAACCAAACCGTTTGTAAATCCGTCAAGATTTCAACGAGATGAGAGTATTTGTGTTCGTGCTGATCACTCATCTTACATCAGGTACCACAGAGCCCGCCAGAAATCTTGCCTGTGACAAGATGGCCGCCGGTGATGACGATAGAGACTCCGCCGTAAGACATCTAGCCTTTATTATGGATATCTATGGACTAAACAGAAGAAATGAACCGGAGAAGATTACCTCATCTAAGAAGGCGGAGCCCCAGAGCCACACCTATTACGTAATCACCATGGGCCAATGGTAGTACAGAGATGTTTACCAGCTGGAATGAACTTTTCCAGAAAGTTCGCTTCGACAAGCTGTTTCAAACTCCAAACGAATTTAGTCATGAACAGATTATTACGAATATAGTGTAACAGATTACTCGAAACTGTAGGGTGGGATTTGGTTCTATGCATCAGTTCTTGATTGGATGTTGAGATGTGGGCGTGGCAATCAAAAGTAGAGGCGGATGAATGCAAGCTTGAAGGGGCGGGTTTAATCAGATTAAATAAAAGTCCTGGAGAAGTCCTGCGTCACTAGAAAGGAGATGATTAAACATTACACGGTCAAACTTTAAAATTAAACATATGCACAGATGAATTTTTCACAATAAGATCCATAACATGAATTCAGAAAATAGATAGGGTGGATTTTCCTTTCATGCTGACTGACTTTAAACTGCACGTATGAACTCAAATGAAAATTTCCCTGCAAAACGAATGCCTTTAACAGAGGATAAAAATGAATTGCTGGGTTTCAAGAGGTTAATGAAATATCAGTGAGCTGAAAGCCACTGCTTCAGACTATCACTTACCATTTTCTTAATGTTTTTTTCTCCTTACACTCATCTTTTCCTCTCAATACTCTGGTCTTTGATGTCCTCGTTTCCTTGCATCTCCTCCTCAATGTCAGGTATGCCCAGGACATGCTGATTGATGTCAGACAGTTATGAAGGGTGCCTGCATTCTAACCAGCACCTGTCAATCAATAAATCACCACAGATTCCCTGACACTAGTGAACATGAACCTGAGATGTTGAGGCTGTGGCGAGAGACGCAGAGTCGCACACATACAGCATTGAAGTTCTTGGATTTTTTAGAGCTGGACTTAAAGGTGGATTGTGTCATTTCTGCACCACTAGTCACCAAAAAAATGCAAAATAATAGCATATTAAAATAATATAATAGCATATTGAATGTTGTCAATCAACTTTTCAATGTACTCCCCATTTCATCTTTAAAATAAAAATAAAAAATGTTATCGTTTTTGCTTTCTTAATAAATGTCCCTATTGTGCTCCGTTCATATCCAACCCGATCACACTAAATGCGTCTCTATAGCACGCAGTGTGTTTATCGTGAAATTTATACGCGAAAATGAGTTTTTACGTGCATAGGATTCGCATGGGTTGGTTAGGGTAGGTTTAGTAGTGGTGTGGGGTGCGTGTGTATTATACATTTGGGTAGAATTAGTGGTGTGGGGTGCGTGTGTATTACACGCAAATGAACTGCGTATCAAATGCACGCGAAAACTGCGTATCATATGCACGTAAAAACTCATTTTCGCCTATAAATTGCACGATAATACACAATGCGTGCTATAAAGACGCATTTATGTGAGGACAGGCTGTCATATCACTGTTAAAGCTAACTCTGTATTAACAATTTAATTTAATTTTTTTGCAATTTAATTAGCTTCTTAGTCCAACATAAAAAGGAGAACCCAACTCATTTTCTTTTGTTTTAATACATTTTAATTGACAGTGTAACTTAATTTTTTCAATTAGGTGTGACGTTTATTTACTTATTTTTGTTAAGGCAATGAATTTTCTCGCTTTTTTTCAAGTAAAGTCAACTAATCATATTTCACAGTCAGTACATAAACCAAGGATGCCAGAGATTATAAGTTATAGAGATCTCACTTAGTGCGGAATGGTCCCTGAAAATCTTTTAGCATCAACATGATTGATTGAATATTTACAGATGTCCTTTTTAAGGTCAGTTGTCATTTGGAATAGTATGTACAGTGTTTTTGTAACCTGTTGCATCACACCCTAATTTACAGTATCAGTAGAGATTCAGGACTGTTAACCTTCAAGCAGTAAAAACACTTTATATTTAGAAAGATGGCAATTAAATCACCAAATTGTCTACATGAACTATCAGAGCTTGGACCCTGATAACTGGCGATTTATTATTTGCTGTTGTTAAGGATAAAGGATGTTGGGGCATCTGGAAAAATCCTGTAGATTTGCACTTAATAATTGCAGTTGGGATCCATGACCCTGTTGATATACTTGCATCATGTTTAACTGCACAGCTAATAAACAGGGACTGCCGTGAGATCAGTGTTAATCTCACACTGCACGTGGTGATATCAGCGTTTATCTGGGAATTATTCTTTATCTATACGACCCAGCCCTCATCAGAGTCGGCTTTTCTCTTGAGTGTGCAACTGTGCATTAACCAAGATAATTAAATTCAATTTAATTAGCAGAAGCTCAGTAATGAACCGCTGGACAGGAGACAGTGAGGTATTTCATTTTTGTAGTGTGTATGTACTTAACAGCTCATATATTGGATTTTTTTTATATGTTAAAGGTGCACTCAGTAATTTTCTATATAGTGCTGTAGGGGTGATGTATTTTTGTAGGCCAAAACCCAGAAATGAGCAAATCCAGTTTCATTGTCCCTGGTAAAAAATAAGGTCTGTAAAATAAGCTCTGTGGTTAACACAAGCTCAAGATTTTTATTTTATTCTACAACATAAAATACATCAGTAACACTCCACTTTTAAAAAAAAGCTTTTAGCCTACTTTAAAAGGCAGCTGCTAACAAGTGTCTAAATGAGACTACAGATGTTGTTGGGTACATTAAACGTCATCACGCCAAACAGGTAAACTCATCTAGTCTGCTTTTACAGCCTTGTTATGTTTATAATTGGCTCTTGCAAAGTATTCTAATTCAAACTTTCTGTGTTCATTTGTGAAGATTATTGTTATATGTTCCCATGTCTTATTTGGTCTTTTTTATGTTACTTCCTGTCTCGAGTGCAATGTTTGTAGTTCTTTGTAGTTTTCTCATTGATTTGTCTCATTGCTTTTCAGGTGTGTCTTGTTAGACTATTAGCTCCCTGTATATACACTCACCTAAAGGATTATTAGGAACACCATACTAATACTGTGTTTGACCCAGCTTTCACCTTCAGAACTGCCTTAATTCTACGTGGCATTGATTCAACAAGGTGCTGAAAGCATTCTTTAGAAATGTTGGCCCATATTGATAGGATAGCATCTTGCAGTTGATGGAGATTTGTGGGATGCACATCCAGGGCACGAAGCTCCCGTTCCACCACATCCCAAAGATGCTCTATTGGGTTGAGATCTGGTGACTGTGGGGGCCATTTTAGTACAGTGAACTCATTGTCATGTTCAAGAAACCAATTTGAAATGATTCGAGCTTTGTGACATGGTGCATTATCCTGCTGGAAGTAGCCATCAGAGGATGGGTATATGGTGGCCATAAAGAGATGGACATGATCAGAAACAATGCTCAGGTAGGCCGTGGCATTTAAACGATGCCCAATTGGTGCTAAGGGGCCTAAAATGTGCCAAGAAAACATCCCCCACACCATTACACCACCACCACCAGCCTGCACAGTGGTAACAAGGCATGATGGATCCATGTTCTCATTCTGTTTACGCCAAATTCTGACTCTACCATCTGAATGTCTCAACAGAAATCGAGACACATCAGACCAGGCAACATTTTTCCAGTCTTCAACTGTCCAATTTTGGTGAGCTCTTGCAAATTGTAGCCTCTTTTTCCTATTTGTAGTGGAGATGAGTGGTACCCGGTGGGGTCTTCTGCTGTTGTAGGCCATCCGCCTCAAGGCTGTGCGTGTTGTGGATTCACAAATGCTTTGCTGCATACCTCGGTTGTAACGAGTGGTTATTTCAGTCAAAGTTGCTCTTCTATCAGCTTGAATCAGTCGGCCCATTCTCCTCTGACCTCTAGCATCAACAAGGCATTTTCGCCCACAGGACTGCCACATACTGGATGTTTTTCCCTTTTCACACCATTCTTTGTAAACCCTAGAAATGGTTGTGCGTGAAAGTCCCAGTAACTGAGCAGATTGTGAAATACTCAGACCGGCCCGTCTGGCACCAACAACCATGCCACGCTCAAAATGGCTTAAATCACGTTTCTTTCCCATTCTGACATTCAGTTTGGAGTTCAGGAGATTGTCTTGACCAGGACCACACCCCTAAATGCATTGAAGCAACTGCCATGTGATTGGTTGATTAGATAATTGCATTAATGAGAAATTGAACAGGTGTTCCTAATAATCCTTTAGGTGAGTGTATATATAGCCCCTGTGTTTCCCTTGTTCTATTAGCTCCCTGTATGTATACAAGCTCCGTTTACACGAAGGCAAGACGCATATATTTCCCTGCGGTTTGGCCTCTCATAAGGGTGGATATTCGGAAATGCTACGGAAAGGGGATATTCGTTTCTCTAAACACCCGGCTATGTGTAAATGTAGCCTCAGTTAATGTTTGCTGTGGAAATCTGTAACACTAGGGAGCTGAAGAGGTGGCAGCAGAGAAGCAGGTGCAGGGGTTTAATTAGAACATAAAGCAAAACAACCAACTCAAGAACCGGGAACAAGGGGAGCAAAGACACGGACCATCTACACCAGGGGTCTCCAATCTTGCTCCTGGAGGGCCACGGTCCTGCTCCAAACCCAAATAAACACACTTAAACCAGCCAATCAAGGTCTTCCTACACAGTAGAAACTTCCAGGCAGGTGTGTGAGGGAAACTGGAGCTAAACTCTGCAGGACAGAGCTGATCTACAAAGAACAAGGGAAGCACAAGGGTTATATATACACAGGAAGCTAATTGGCTAACAAGACACACCTGGAAACAATGAGACTAATCAACGAGAAAACTACAAAGAACTACAAACATGGCATAAGACAGGAAGTAACATAAAAGTCCAATCAAGACATGGGGAACATTTAACAATTATCATGATGAACAAAATGTGTGAGAATAATAAACTTGTGTTAGTCACAGTGTTCATTTTCTGGCTGTTTTGTTGGATTCCTACTGACACTTAGTGATGTGGATGTATTTTCACGCATGCGTAATGCAACAGTCAGTCTAAAACATCAAACCATGGCATTACAATCTGATTCCATCGATGTAATACTGCCACAGACAGTGTGTGTCTGTAATGGGATATTTACACCGTGTCGCTGGATATATTGTAATTGGCCTCTGTTAGGAGACCCTCTCTGTGATTTATGGGCACCACAGAGCCGTCCTCCGGAGGGTGCCAGACACTCACTGTGTAATGGATGGCGATTGATGGAGTTCATTATCACCACAAGAGAGAGTCTAACCTGCCACCATAATGGCCAAATAACTGCTCTGCGTTCTCTCCTCAAGTCCACACTTGTTTGTCAGTAGTTTGGGAGCAATATTACGTATTGACTTTGTGTTATGGTGACGAGGGAGGCAGTGTTTCCTCAAATAGGCTTTGATTTGTTGTGCTCCTCGTTTTTATTTGCTAAATCTCCTGACGATTAGAGTTGATAGTGTTTAGCATCTGGAAGATTTGAGAGCCAGCAATAATACTCCGCCTCGCCTCCGTCTCTCCATATGGGCATGAGAAACACACACACACACACACACGCACTCTCACTTTCTGTCTTCCTCTGCATCTACATATTTATCCACCATCTCTCTGCAGGACTTTCTATCTTTCTTTAGCCTCAGGCTGTTCTAGCTCAAGGTTTCATGGTCATCCTGTTAGTCAGACCAGATCAACTCATTTTAAAGGATATTTTTAATATATATTACATAAATAAAGTTTTTAATGCCTTATGTCACTAAATTAGGCATTTGTAAATTGTTTCCTGGGATCAATACTTGTATTGATTCTGGAACAACGTGAGTTTGGGAAAGTATTCCAATGAAAAGGCATTGCAATAATCAATGCTTTAGAGTTCCAGCATCTCTATGGTTTAATGATATGGCAGACGTGAGCAGTGTTATGCCGATGGCTAATGTAGGGAATACGGAATGTCATGGAATTTGACGACTTTTGGAGGAATAAGAAGTGCTGTACACTTAATCAAGTCATGATATGGACTATGTCTGTGAATATAAAAGCGCAAAAATCTGAAGTCTGTTCTGGATGTCTGTGAATGTTTCAATGTCTGTGAATGAGCGTTGCAGTTTGGTTTACTAAACATGTTCGAGCTAGGGTGATGCTCGTGGCGTTTCAGCATCTGCCATCTCATATGAGGACATGAACACATGATCTTTATCTGTATCTGCTCTGACCAGCATTTCACCATTTCATTTGGTAAAAACTATCATAAGATAGGCCTACACACAGAAACTCAAAGGTCTTCATGACAACCCATCAAAATAAAGGTTTGGTTTAACTTGAAAAATGTATGCATTATATTACTATTGTACAGTAGAATGTACTTCTCTAAGTAATAATACAACTATTAAAACTTTAATATAAGGAATATCACACAACTGCTCTTCCCTGTTTTAATTTAAACAGTAAACTTGAAAGGTAGGAAACGAATTGTTACATTTTCTTTTTAATGCCTTTTAAAAGATTAATTTGATTACCATCATTTTTTTATAATAGATTTGGATTAAAACATGAATCCAGAAAAATGTAAACAAACAGAATTTCTGAAAATATAAAATATTTCATAGGGGCTTATTGTAATTTTTTGTTGAATTGTTACATTTGTATTACTTTATTTGAATAAAGATCTTTTTTTAAGAAAATGTAATTAAACCATTAAAACGGAAACATAAATAAATCGGAAAACACTCAATTTTGGAAAAAAGAAAACTGATTCATTGGGCCCTAAAAACATTTAAAATGTTCAATTAATTAGACACTGCTGATTACTCAAATTTAATCTAACCATTAAAACGCAATCCAGAACATTTTTTATGGGGGAAAAACAGGATCCAGACAAATTCAAACTGAATTTGAAACGCATTTCATATGGCCTTATTAAATTCAGTTCTGACAGTGGAGCTGACGGACTTCAAATGTGAAGGAAGGTTCAAATGTAACATCACGGTTATGCAGCCAATAACACATTTGATAAAACACCTGGGTTTGGTAACTTCAGTGAATAGTATCCCACACTCCCATTTTCCTGTAACTCCTCTTTCCTCGCTGTCATGCTGCTCTGATTAAACTGCTCTTCTCCAAACAGTCGAGTCTCCCATAAAGCTCCTCTCACACCGCCATTGTTATTTCTTTAAACACACGTAGTCCCTGAAACAGACAGGTGAAGCGCTAATTGAAACAGCAGAGATGGACAGAATGAGGAGAGAGAAAGAGAGCGAGAGAAATCAAAGAGAATTAGTGAGTCATTCATCAATGATAGTGTGATCGATGAGACCCTTTAATCTGATCTTTCTGTAGCTCTGGATGCTCAATTATGCATCTGACAAATGTTAAAATAGCAAAACAATATAGTGAAACTGCACAGCAGAAGAGAGAATTCTCCAAAGCCCTGAGCTAGAAGGAATACAGTAATCATCACGCACGACGCTCGCTGAGAAATGATTTATACCAAAATGATTAAAGGAACGTTCCGGTTCCAGAACAGCTTGAGCTCCGTCGACAGCATCAGTGACATACTGTTGATTAGATTAGAAAATAATTTCACCACACTTTGTAAAAGCAAAAAATGTGTTTACATCAATTAACTTACAATGAAAGTCCATGAGGTAAGGCACTAGGAAGAGCTTAAAAGAGTGCAGCTTTTTCTGGTAATGTGCTAATATTAATTCTTCTGTGGCAAAATGTGTGTTATTTGAGCTGCAATGTTGTTTAAATCAGGATTATTATAGTTGACTAAAACTAAAACCATTAAAAAAACATTTTCATTACTTAAAAAAAAAAATATATATATATACACTCACCGGCCACTTTATTAGGTACACCTGTCCAACTGCTCGTTAACACTTAATTTCTAAGCAGCCAATCACATGGCGGCAACTCAGTGCATTTAGGCATGTAGACATGGTCAAGACAATCTCCTGCAGTTCAAACCGAGCATCAGTATGGGGAAGAAAGTTGATTTGAGTGACTTTGAACGTGGCATGATTGTTGGTGCCAGAAGGGCTGGTCTGAGTATTTCAGAAACTGCTAATCTACTGGGATTTTCACGCACAACCATCTCTAGGGTTTACAGAGAATGGTCCGAAAAAGAAAAAACATCCAGTGAGCGGCAGTTCTGTGGGCGGAAATGCCTTGTTGATGCCAGAGGTCAGAGGAGAATGGCCAGACTGGTTCGAGCTGATAGAAGGGCAACAGTGACTGAAATAACCACTCGTTACAACCGAGGTATGCAGCAAAGCATTTGTGAAGCCACAACACGCACAACCTTGAGGCGGATGGGCTACAACAGCAGAAGACTCCACCGGGTACCACTCATCTCCACTACAAATAGGAAAAAGAGGCTACAATTTGCAAGAGCTCACCAAAATTGAACAGTTGAAGACTGGAAAAATGTTGCCTGGTCTGATGAGTCTCGATTTCTGTTGAGACATTCAGATGTTAGAGTCAGAATTTGGCGTAAACAGAATGAGAACATGGAACCATCATGCCTTGTTACCACTGTGCAGGCTGGTGGTGGTGGTGTAATGGTGTGGGGGATGTTTTCCTGGCACACTTTAGGCCCCTTAGTGCCAATTGGGCATCGTTTAAATGCCACGGCCTACCTGAGCATTGTTTCTGACCATGTCCATCCCTTTATGGCCACCATGTACCCATCCTCTGATGGCTACTTCCACCATGTCACAAAGCTCTAATCATTTCAAATTGGTTTCTTGAACATGACAATGAGTTCACTGTACTAAAATGGCCTCCACAGTCACCAGATCTCAACCCAATAGAGCATCTTTGGGATGTGGTGGAACGGGAGATTCGCATCATGGATGTGCAGCCGACAAATCTGCGGCAACTGTGTGATGCCATCATGTCAATATGGACCAAACTCCCTGAGGAATGCTTCCAGCACCTTGTTGAATCTATGCCACGAAGAATTGAGGCAGTTCTGAAGGCAAAAGGGGGTCCAACCCGTTACTAGCATGGGGTACCTAATAAAGTGGCCGGTGAGTGTATATACTGGCCTATATAAATTTAACTTGTTTTGTTTCAGCTAGTTGCCAAAGCTACATTTCTCATTTTAATTTAGTTTACCTTCATGTACTAAAATAATTAAAACTGAAATAAAAATTCATAAAAACTGTATGTTTAAGGAAATAATGGAATTCTTTTGTTGTTCCAAACTTGATTTTCCAAGCTATTTACTCCCACAAGCATCATTCCAAAATGAATACTGTTATTTCTTTCTTTTGGAAGAAGATCTTGTCATGTAGATCTTTTCCAACTACAACAGTTTACCACATCTTCACGTGTGACATCATTCATAAACGTCATCTGATTTATGGTTATTTTCTTTCTTTCATAGTTGGTGTCTGTTTGATAGTTGTGGTCACTATGAACTAGTGTTGTCACGATACTGGAATTTCCAACTTCGATATGATACCTTATCAATATTCTGCCATATATACCACCATACAGATAATTTGTCATTATCTCATACTTTTTTTGTCATTTTTGTCATTTTAGCTTACACAGGATGCTTTATTTGAAACTAGATTTACAACAACAACAAAAAAGACAAGTAAACAACCAGTAATACAATAAGAACAAATAAACAAATTGTAAATGACAGCACAAATAAATACAATTGAATAAATAGACAAATGAAATAAACATGGCTTTAAG